TGTTTTACAACGTCGTTGCCAAGCGACGAAAACCCAACCCCGATGGCAAATGAAGGGTGCGCTGCATCCTACTAAGGGTGTTCTGCATCTTGTGCTTCCTTCCTTGCATATGGATAACAGCTGTGAATCAAAAAATAGTTTTCCTGGTACTAGAACAATTCAACACAACGTGGTGCGATCATCCCCTTCGCGCGGAGTGGAGGTTCTCGACCCCGCACAACATGATCTACTCGGCCACCATCATGGAAGGAGGGAGGGGGGCAGGTATCGATTTGTAGATGGGTGCCCTGTGCGACTAAGTAACCAAGCAGCGGGAGTGCCACATCCTCAAAGAACAACAGCAGTAACAACAGACGAGGTCACGTCGTGCTTCTCTTCTCACCCTCTCTTGGTTGGGCTGCTGCTTGGAAGGCAACGCACAGCGCTTGCGCGATTGGAACCTCCTCAGCACGCCCCCTCGTCCTCTGTTCTCTCCTGCGGTGCCCCCTCCGTCAACAACTTCCCTAGTCCATTCCACGGGGACTCCGAGCCTTTCCAACGCAGCCAGCAGCAGCTCAAAGGCCCTGCAGACAAGGGCGGCTAAGGTGGTGGTTAGTACGTTTGGGTGCCAGGAAACACATAGACACTATTCGTAGGACCGTGTGCCGTCTGTAAAAAAAGTGGCTACTATATGGATACGGAGCAGCAGAATGACACGTATAAACGCGAAAGTAGCGAGAGTCGAGTCGAAGAGCCTTTTAATCTTATGGGACCAGACTTCTTGTCTCCGACTTGGCTGTATAGTCAGCAAAATATGCCCGCTTCTCTAATATGGAGAGTGGAGAAGGGGCACTAATGAAACAAAGGGCATTGCATCCAAAATGCGGACTAGCTCTTAGAGCCATGTTATTTGGTCTGCGCGCCGTGATGAAGGCCCCCCACCTCACCCTGGCGGCGCCAGCCTGCGTAGAAGGGTGGCGTCTGAAGGGTCATAGTAGTAGTGGCCGTAATTTCGAGGGCAGGAGCCAGCAAGCAAGGCGCGGTTCTTGATGCTTCATTTGTACTATCAATGCTCTGTCTACTGTAGCTCGAAACGCAACTCACGAACGAGAGCTGATCGCCCCCTTTGAAGTCCCGGAGGAATAAAACCGTTAGTCTACTTGGAGTTCTCGATCCCTGCCTACCATAACCCTTCCGACGAACTACAATAATAGATCTCCTGAGAGACCGACGACGAGATACTAATCACTCCCGATCAGCAAGCATAACCCGTAGCTGCTGCTGCTGCTGCATACGTACGGGAGGGGTGTCCGTACACGGACACTCTGGTCAATGCAGTGCTACAGAGTGAATCTTGTGTCTAGGAGCAAGTGAGCGAGGTTGGCCGTCTATCTGCTATTTAGCCGCCAGACCAAGGGCGCGCCCTGGCAGCTGTTGCATGCACAACCCTAATGCGTCGGGTTCGGAGAAGACCCCGGGTATCTCCGGAGGAGACCTCAGTCATCTCCAGGGAAAACGCTAGGCATCTCCTAGGCGAGCAGGTCGGACAGGCACCAAAGAGGTACATGACACGATCACTCCCAGATGACCACATGAGTCGTACAAAGCCTAAGTTAGGTTTTGGTGCCTTAAACACGGGATCTGGTCGTCGAAGTGGCTTGCGCCGGGCAGTGTCGGATGTCTTGAGCGGTATTTTTTTCCGCTTGCAGTACGCTATACTTGTCGTGGGGTTCTGTATCCCGCTTGTGAGGAGCTGCAATGCGGGGTCGCCAGGAACAACCATGCCTTTGATTGACCTGACACCATTGAACCACGAGAGGGCGCATTCCTTACTCGGAGAATATTTCGTGTTGTTTTCTCCACATGAAACTCGTGTCAGTTGCTAATCCCAAAATCTAGCGAAGACTCGATCCGTGGTCGCAAAAATGCGAGAGCCATCAGAAGATCCAAAGAACACACACACTATTACGAAGAAAAGGGTACACAAGCCCGAGGAAGTACACCTACAACCCCTGCAGCACGTTTGCGTGCTCACAACTGAACGACACGCCCACACACTACAATTCGACTACAGCAGCAGCATCACCCCCCTTGTCCCGCATTTAACCAAAATGAATGTTTGTCGACTATAGCGTACTGCTGTCTGAAGTGCTTTCTGTACAATAATAACACCGTAGTGCATGGTACACAAGCTCGGGGCATGCAGCTGCTGTCTCAAGTGCTGTCAGAATGAGTCCGTGGACATACAATGAAGAAGAACACCCAACCAAAGCCATCATTGCAATCGACAAATCACCCGAATCTATCTATCCAGATCATCTGTGATAGACACAGCAGCGAAAACATCGACAATGACTAGGAATCATTCCACATTGAAGGGATCTTCCGCGATGCAGGTACACAATGAAGGCACCCGGGTTACCCGCGCCATCTCTGCCGCGTCTCTCTACAAAACTAGTGACGTCATCACACACACCCAACACCTACATCCAGGAAAAAAAACGGAACATAAATGACAACACAAGAGATGTTTGTCCGTGCGTTACGTTTTGATGCCGTGCGCATGCTCCGGTTCCGCGGCTCCGGTGCCGCTGTGGCCAGTCCTACAACGACCAAACTCGACCCGCTCCGCTTCGTACACGCTGTCGTTGCTGTCCTCCCTAATCGGTTCCTCGCTTTCACCCTCGTTGCACTTAGGGTTCTTGGTCTGAAAATTCTCGCGCCGAAGGGTCAACCAGCCCAATCAGCTCGTCACCACCTGTCCCCTCCTCCTTTGATGGCAACGCCAGGTTACTGAGACAGTGCAGCTCCCTCTAGCAAACCTAGGGCCGTGTCCATAGTCCACCTTCTGATGGCGTCTGCCTCCGCGCACAAAGATGAGATGGGCATTGCTGCCTACACCGACGGCCTGGAGGCCCGCGCATCTGCACCTT